CTCAGCCATGAGTGAACGTTGCTCATATCTTGGGCAGCAGCGTTTTTCAGCCCCGGTGCAGGATGTGAAACCTGCTGTGCGGCCCAAACACCAGGCAGGAGACGCCCCGTGGACGGCTCATCAGTAAGCAGGTCACCTTCTTCTGCAGTTTGCCTCGCTCTCGGTGTGTCATCCAGAGAGTTCTTTTTCTTTTTTTCCAAATGGTATAAATCTTAGGAAAAGTCAACTAGAAAGCAGTGAAGTAAAATCAGATCTCCTTTGTCAAACTGTCATCTTACATTTCCACCGATTGCTGAAGAGTCAGAATCATTCTTCCAAACAGTCTGTGAGATGTTGCCGTGGTCCGTTTTCTCCCATAGTTGGTTGGCTTAGAAGGTGAGACTGCATAAAAATGAAAGTGGTTGATTTATTGGAATGTGTGGGATAGAAATGATTAACCTTAAGAAAATGATGCTTCAATATATCTGGATAGTTCTATTCAAGTCCACATCTGCTATTTGCCCAGCACTACGCAAATAGTGGAAACACTGGTGGCATAGTGGTTAAGAGCTACGGCTGCTAACCAAAAGGTTGGCAGTTTGAATCTACCAGGCACTCCTTGGAAACTGTATGTGGCAGTTCTGCTCTGTCCTATAGGGTCGCTATGAGTTGGAATCCACTCGATGGCAGCGGGTTTGGTTTAACCAGTTTTTGCAAATAATCATCCATTCAGCAAATAATTTACTGAGCGCTTACGGTATGCTGTTCATGGTGCTCTGGATAAGACAGTGAACAAAACCTTGGACAAATACCCCTGTCTCCATAGAACTGACATCCTAGTTTGGAGTTAAATGATAAGGAAGTAAATTATAATATGTTAGAAGGTGATATGTGCTATGAGGCAAACAGAAGAACTGGAAGAGGGTGAGAGGAGCCTGACACACCAGGATCAGGCATGGGTGCCAGGCAAGAGGGAGGGTAGCAAATGGTATTAAACACGGTAGGCACGCCATGCCTCAGTGAGAAGGAGAAACGTGAACAAAGACTTGTTGAGGGAAGGAAGTTGTGAAGAGCTTCTATGCGCGTATCGCTCTCAAGTCCAAAAACAACTGTGGTATAATCAGTATTCTCTCCATAGTTCACATAGGATCATAAGAGGCTGGTCCAGCAAAAATGTGGGAGAGTTTTAGGTTATCTAGTTAGTTTCGTCATTATACACAAATTTTAGAACAATTAAAAGATAGTTGTTTGATGTTCATCACTGGACAAATACATAAGCACTAAAGCTTCCGTTCAGGGTGTGCTGATGACGCGTGCCGTGTTTGAGAGTGCTCCCACTAGAGTCAGTTCTGGACTTTCTGTGTGGGAGGGGTATAGTTTTCGGGGGCTGGGTGTTGTTTTGGGGGCAGTGGGGGTTCAATGGCAAATTCTCGCCTTCCATGTGGGAGATCTGGGTCTGCGTCTCGGCCAGTGCACCTCACGCACAGTCGCCACTTGTCCGTTAGTGGAGGCTTACGTGTTGCTATGATGCTGAACAGGTTTTAGCAGAGCTGGAGAAAGGGTAGGCAATCTGCTTCCAAAAATCAGCCAGTGAAAACCCTATAGATCATAACCCTGTGGATCAGCAGACCATGGGGATGGCACGGGACAGGGCAGCATTTCCTTCTGTTGTGCCCGGGTTTGCCATGAGTCAGGGGCAGCTTGACAGCAGCTAACAGCAACAGCATGTAGCAGACTGGTGCCAGGCACCTGGGCAAGGTGAAGGAAACATAACTCCTCGCTCAGGGAACCTTGGCGCGGTGGCTTTGGTCAGGTGTCAAGGTCATCTCCTCAGGCCTGTGTGTTCTCACATATGCTGCAGCTTCTTTTCTCTTTGGGAGCATTAGCCTGGGACGAGGCCACTTCTTTATGCCCTTGCTTGGTGGTTGCAGTAAATTTCAGAGTTCTTTTTGGGCCAGGAAAATCTGAGTCATAGCTGATCTTGCAAAGATGGCATGTATACCTTGTAGAGCATGATATATTTCCGAATGCTGAGAAGTTAATTTCTTCATTGGTCGCTACGTTGTAGAACAGTCATGAATGAATGAAGCACAGCTTGAGCTCAGCACCTTTAGAGACACCTTGAATGAGAGGAGAACCTTTAACTCTAGCAACAACGGTCCTTAGGATAATTCAAGAGGCAGCGGGTGCTTTGTGTCCTTGAAAACTCTTTGAATGGCACTTTTGTATAGGAGATTATATTTAATTTCCCCTTACTCAGCTGTTTGTCAGAGGATTGTTTTCTTCCTGAGTATAGAAGTCTGGACTGTTAACCATGCTCCAATTTCACATGCCTTTGCCTCTGGAAGACATTGAAGGAAAAGATGTCGTTTCAAAAAATATGGGTTTTTAGTGATCTAAGTTCACTAGTGCCATCCAACTGGAGCTTTTGGAGCTTTATAAATACACTCCAGTGTTTTTCACTGTTGTAGAGGAGGCAAGGAGCAGATTATGAATTCACTTGGTTATGTCCAAAGATACTCTCAGAGACGTATTTACGGAGTCGGAGCTCCTCAGGTTTCTTTTCAGAAGGGGTGGGTGGGTGCTGTAAAGGCATTTTATAGATGGACAACTTGGTTTTACTTTAAGTTTTTGTCATTTTCAGTATTAATATTAGCTTTTCCATCCATGTAAGTACACTTATGAGGTCTGCTTAAAGGACTTCAAAAGTTTTTTCTTTTTAGAAATAGCTTCATTCTAATCTCAAGTATTTCACTGTGAACGTAATTTATAATATTCGTACCTCCATTCTTACGTCAATCTTGAATGTCATCACATTGGTGGTGTTTAGAGACAATTGGTCTGGAATAGCCTGTACTTTTCTTGGGTGAAATGATGGCCATAATCAGCCCATTACTGCAACCTTCTAACGCCGTTCCTGAGATGTCCTGTTACCTGAAATAGAGAAGATAATGGAAGAATTCTAATCATAGGGGAATAATGCGGACATAATAGGATATGTCGATCCATGGCTTATCTTTACTTGTAGAGCTCTTGATCGTCTTCCTGAGGCTGAAATCATTCCTTATTCTTACCATTTCTTTTACTTCAATACACAGGGGTGTGAGCTCATTTCAACTCCTGATCAAGACAGCACTGACTTCACCAAGTGCCTTCAAGTGCTCCAAAGGAGGATAGAAGAAAACGGCCTACAGGTGAGCTGGGCATGCACATGGTGGTGAAGGGTCTGGGCACCAAGGACGTGGAAGGTCCGGCTAACTCACTCGTCTGAGTTACTTACTTTTGTGCTGGATTTTGGGTTTCTTTTTCTGCTTACCAAGTTAATCTGTACTCATTTGCCAAAACGTTATCCTGCGCACTTACATCAGAGCCACAACACCGCACAGCTTACGGTGATAAGACCACAAGATGAGTGGACCCAGCTGTTTCTGTAGAAGATAACCCGCACTGCAGGCTCATTCTCAGCCTCAGTGAGCAGCTACTTTCCTCTGCTGCTTCATGCCACACAGAGCTGTATGTGTGTGTACACATACATGTTTAAATATCGTTTGGGCAGAACAAACACCGACACACGCAGAGGTGGCCTAGATTTGGCCCTTGGGCCATCACTGTAAATACTTCTGTAAGCAAACATCAACTTTTTTTTTTAAGACAGAGAAGAGTCTGCATTCAGATGTCTAATCACATTAATTAGCTAAGTAAACAACAAAAAAAAACAGCTGCTGTTGAGTCGACTCTGACTCATGGAGACCCCTACGTGTCAGAGTAGAACTGTGCTCCATGGAGTTTTCAGTGGCTGATTTTTCAGGAGTACATCATCAGCCTTTCTTCTGAGATGCCTCTGGGTGGACTTGAACATCCAACCTTTGGGTTAGCACCCGAGCCCGTTAACCATTTACACTACCCAGGGACTCTAATTCTTTAACCCACAAGTTTGTATTTTATTATGTTTCGATATATGTTCAGTGTATATCTCCTAAATTAATCCTGCAGCGTAGAATGACAATTGTCCTTTTTTTCTGGGTGGGGCAGTAAGTTCAGCTGAGATACATGATCAAACGTGTAGTCTTAAACTAAGGGACTAGGAAAATGTCTTGTGCATTCACATGCCGTGGATGGTCCAGTATCAGGAAACATCGCGCAGCCTGGCCTCAGGAATGGCCTGCAATGAGGCCAACTCAGACTTGGTGCCATCAGATCTCACACTCCCTGTCTGGTTGTCCCGTCTTCAGACTGGCTCCCTTGATTGTCCTGCAGCGATGCCGTCCCCGTCCACATCCAGGGGGACCAAGGGGGTGGCTTGTCCCATCATCCTTCTCTCTCCATCAGGCCACTCCTGATTTTGGCAAAGAAGACTGAGAGTATCTTGATGGCCTTAGACTCTGGCTGGGAATGAGTCTGTCCAC